ACCACTGTATCTATCTATCCATCCATCCATCCATCCATCCAACCAACCACCCATCCATCCATCATCTATCTATTAAATTTATATGGCCACCCATACCACTCTCAGAACAGTTTACAATGTAATCTATTCATGAGCCTATATTTCATCACTCTGATAAATTATTCCATAATTTTCAATGAGAAGGCAATCACTCAGCAGTTTACTGATTAGAACTTCCATATTATTTGCAAGTTGCAATGCATCATAATGTTTTGACTCTTGGGATAGGATTCCTGCAGTTCTACGATTCCTCATATCATCCCTTCCAAGGTTACAAATGAGCCTCTGGACTTGAAGAGATGCGATCTTTGCAGCTGCCTGGGTGTTAATAAAGCAATCCAAAGAGATGCTGCAAGATGACCACTGCTTGAGCCAAATGAAGGTTCTGCCACCCCTCCTGTTGCTTTGGCTTCCTTTGCATATTTCCACCTACAGACCTGTTTTGCCAATAGCAGCAGTGCCTGCTGACAAGTTGGCTAGCAGGCCAGCTGTTCAAAATCTTTCATCCTGCCTGAAGATCCACTTGGGACAACACATCCATACTACTGTCCAGACAGCTGCTTTAAGTGGCTCCTTGACTGTGTGTAATGGCAGGGCCGGTCCTCCCTTTGGTGTACTTATTCAGACCTCAAATGGACGGTGCCAGAAGCTGAGCAAGGAGAGAAAGGCTTTTAAAGACCCTCATCTCATTCGGTCCATTTCCACCCAGCTGGACTGCACGTGACAGGAGTCTCCAACATCTCCTGAGCTCTCTGCAACAGAAGCACTTCTGCCGTAATTTAGGGTTTTTCCCTTAGGGAAGAAAAAAAAGAAAAAAAGAAGAAGACTGCGAAATGGCTTTTACTTATCATGGGAAATAAGGGGAAACGATTCCTTATTTGAAATGCTTTGAAAAAAATAAGCATTATAAATAAATAAAGACCATTTCCTTTTATTTCCCATGATAAGCAAAGACCATTTCCTTCTTTTCATTTTCTAAGCCTTGAACAAAATGTGGCAATTTGATCATCTTCTCATCTCTTCCATGAAGGAAATAATGTGTTTGTTGACTCCGCCGCCAACGGTTTTCCCGTCTATATTCCATCCTTCTTATTTGCTCAGTTATTGGGGCTGGGAATGATTTTCCCCATGGCCCACGGTGCAATTGGGAGGGTGAGAATGTTTGATGTTTGACTTGTGCATGTAGCCTTTACTGGTCTTGTGTACTCAGATGTGATTGGACTTGCATCTCCATCCTTTCAAGCCATTTAGCCATTGTCCTGGATTTAGAGATATTGTACTCCAATTACACTGGAAGAGCCAAAGCTATTATTCTGGGATTTATCTGTATGAATATGCCAGCAAATGTCTCTTGCTTTCTCATTTTCTGCCTTTCAGTTGAGTCAATGCTTCAGTGGTATGCAACGCTTAAGAAGAACTGCATGATGATTAGACTCAAATCAATACGAAATTCTTTGAAATTTAGATGTGGGCTGCTGGGGGTTTGCAGGGCTTCGGGAGAATCCCTAGCTAAGATTCTGTGCAGTTCGGAGAACCCCCAAATCCCACTCCTGGCTGGCCCCGCCCACCCTACCCCGCCCCTCTCAGGAGTCCCCACGCAGCCTGTTTTGGATGCAGATAAGTGCACGCACGCATGGAGGCTTAGGGAGGGTAAAAAATGGGCCTACCAGAAGTTCAGGAAGCTCATTTCCAGCCTCCAGACGGCCTCTGTAGCCTGGGAAGGCTGTTTTCGCTGTCCCGGAGGTCAAGAAAAGCCTCCAGAGCCTGGGGAGGGCAAAAACACCCCCCCTACCATGGTGAAGGAGGCTGACTAGGCCATGCCCACCATGGCCTCGCCCACTCAGCAACCGGGCAGAGAACCCCTTGCTAAATTTTTTGAAGCCCACCCCCGGAAAGTGTTATGTATGGCTCCTTCATCTCATTCAGCACAAGCCAGATTCTACCCTGGTCTTCCTTCTAGAATCCTCCTTGCTCTGCTAGTTTAGTACAAATTATTTTATGAATTCATTTATGAATATATCTAGGTCATTCTAAAACTTGGCCTGGGTCAAGGACAGGGCCGGATTTTCCTATAGGCTAACTAGGCTTCAGCCTAGGGCCTCAAGATCAAGAGGGGGCCTCAAGATCAAGAGGGGCCTACATTCAAATTGTTAGCAAAATTAAAATTACACTTTCACTATAGGTGAAAGGGCCTCATAAGTGGAATAGCCTAGGGCCTCTTTTCATCTAAATCCGGCCCTGGTCAAGGAATGAATATCAAAGACATTAAGCCATCCTCTCCTTTATGATTAGAAATGATGGTTTATCTCTGTTGACAGTTGCCATATTGTCAAGGTGATGAATCTCCCACATTTATCTTTCCACTCGTTCTCTGTATTAATTTTTCCCCCCAACAGACCAGTAGAGTAACAATCAAACCAGACACCAGAACATTCTTCCGCAACTTCCTCCCTCCCTCCCTCTCTCTCTCTCTCTTCTCTGTCTCCATCCATATCTATCTATCTATCTATCTATCTATCTATCTATCTATCTATCTATCATCTATCTATGTATCTATCTTCTATCTATCTATCTACCTATAGTTGATTTGAGTAGAAAGGAGAGCCAAGAAGCATCCGTGGGTCCTCCTGTTCCTGGATCATAAGCCGTCTTTCTCAACAAGGCATGCTCCTGAGATTTTAAATTCCAGCTCGCATCAACTCCAGCAAGCAGACCTAATTATCTGCAATGCTGGAGGTTGCAGTCCCAGATATCTTCCAGATTGCAAAAGGCCATCCCAGTGAAAGTGAAATTAGGTTTCCAGAAATTTATGTATCCTGGATGACCTTCAAATGGGCAATCAGTGCTTTATCATGTACTAACAATATTAAAATGGCATATCATTATGACAGTTTGCTTTCAAAGTTTAGCTGGAAGAAGTTTATCAGAAAACACAGACTTTATTATTAAAGTTTTGCTTAATAACAGTGATTTCACTTGAATTCTTATTGGGCTGGATTAAAGTTTATTAATTAAAGCGGATTAAAAGTTTATTAACTTTTACCTAAATTAAGTGTCTTCAGGTAATTATTCTCAACATATCTGTTTTAATCTTTTCATTCTCCTTTCACTCACCTTGTCTATATCATTTTTATCGCATCCCCAGAGAACATAGGGAGCAGTTTTCCACATACACATATGCAGAAGAATTTAGCAAGCTACTTTTCTGCCAAAGCACAGATGAAAGGCCTTGTTTTGTCTTTTCCTTGAGGGTTATTTTGGGCATGATGGGGATGGATGTTCTGTGGTGCTTAAAACCATAATTGGAGATGATATATGTTGCTCAATTGAGCAGAGATCTATGGAAATTCCTATTGATCCATATTGACTCTGAGTCTTCATGCGGGTAATGCCAAAAAGAAGTAATGCCAATAGGTTGCAAGAAAGTGGAAACTGATCTGAGGCCATGAAGGGAAATGACTGCTCTGATTAATTTTGAGAGTCATGGTGAAAGCAGGCAGTACCACTAATGTACAGTATAATATCCTTTTGCCTATGCTTTTCTAGGCAGCAAGGAGATATTTTTGCTTATTTGTGATAGGGAGGAGAAGAATGGAAGTTTATTGGATCTGCTTAATCTTGTTACATGAGATTCACCAAGGACAGCCAGGGGGGAAAAAAAAGGTTCATCAGGGTGGAAATATATTAACAATTCAAGACAGGGTGACCCTGAGCCAGGCTCATTCCCAACTCTCCTGAAAAATCCACTTCCTCCCACTCCCCAGTTCTTTTGCATAACATTGGAAGCATCTCTGCCTTCTATAAAAGGATATGGTATTAGAATTTTCCACTCTAGATTAAAGGAGAAGGCATCACAATGCAGAGCAAGCTCTGGCCAACGTCTTGGACATATGTTTAAATTGTAAATCTCCTTAGTAAATACTGTTGATAATAGGTGTCAACATCCAAGATACCTTAAGAGATATTACCTATTTATAAGAATTTCTAATACTAGAAATTAAAAGCATCACTAGAAGACAAAAGTTATTAAGTTAGAAAGCGAGAGGAGTTGATGGATTATGGAAAGAAACAGGGGGGGAAATCTGTAAAGTTCTAACAAAACTATGCCAGGAAATCTGAAGAATGTCACAATGGCCAATAGATTGGAAGCAAAAATTGGATTTTGAAGAAACGGGATAGAAAGAATAACCATGTTTTTGAACTTTGGTGTTGGAGAAAACTCTTGAGAATGCCATGGTTAGCAAGTTCATAGAACAAATCAATCCAGAGTTCTCATTTGGGACACAAATTACTAGGCTTCAATTATAATATTTTGGAGACATTTATGAAGACCACGTTCTCTGGAGAAGCTGAAATGATGGGAATGGTAGAAGGAAAGAGGACAATGGAAGCAAGGTAGATAAATGCAATTATAGGGACTATGAAGACTTGAAGGCAACAGATTATTCTGAAAAAGTCTATATATGTGGCAATTTCAAGTTAATGCTGACAGAATAGACTAGACTAGACTAGACTAGACTAGACTAGACTAGACTAGACTAGACTAGACTAGACTAGACTAGAATAATTGAATACTTGATGGCACACAATGAATGAATCAAATTTCATTAATAAGTATTCAGTAGATTAATATGTATTAATCTAAAAATAAAAGTAACAAGATTGGGTCTCATAGTGGGAGACCATTTGTTACTGCCAAGAGTGTAGGCTAGATTGGGAAATTAATAAGGCACCCAGGAAGGTGCAGTGGGAAATCCTTCCACATTATTCAAATAGAAATTGTGTCTATGTAGTCAAAGATGACTTAAGGGGATTTTACCTTAAATCTCATGGAAATTGACAGGAGTTACCTCTGAGTAAATAAATATGCTTTGTTAAATTTGATCCCTGCTTTCCACCACATGGTGCTCAAAGTGGCTAATAATCATATAAATGCAATAAGTGTAAACTACACAACGGGGTCTTATGGCATCTTAAATGCTAATGGCTTTATTATGGCATAACATTTTGTGGGCGGCAGCATCTGTTGCAGTAGGCTGTTATCCTGGAAAGCACATTGATTTTGCTAGTCTTTAAAGTGCTACAAGATTCTTTGTTGTTTTCATTCCAACATGCACGACTACCTTAATAGAATGGGGAGATTTAAAACAAAATAAACAGCAATGCAACAACTACTTAAACATCATATGCCCAGTTTAGGTGATAAAATTTACCCAACGCATGCTGATGTTAAAAACAAAAATACCACAGCAATTCACACTTGGTAATACGTTCTTTGGAGACCACCGGAGGATGTTCCAGTTAGACTTAGCCTGGGAAGAATATGGTAGTTGTTCTATCACACCTTCTCATATTTTAGTGCTAACTCAGCAGAACATAAATAATCACAATGGCTTGCACTATTTTTTGTTAACAGAAACTTTTTAGTCATTGAATTTCTTGTCTCTATATTTTGAGTTATGGATTAGGGTTATGCTTAGTCTTTAAAATATTCTCATGCAAAATATCCTCCAAGTACATACAGTGCCCATCCTCCACTTTTGATGACTTATTTTCCACAAACACCAGTATTTGTACTGGGAAAGTTATTCACATTCTTAAAATATCCATGTCCGTGCTTTTTATTTCATAACTATTCTCCAAAACTATATGGGAATCACTTTGGAAACATCACAAATAGTAAATTAAAGATTAGATCTGCACATCCTTCTTGCCCCATCATCAGTATAGGGTAACCATCCTTTCCTCAGGCAGGAGTGGACAACATTATCCCTCAACCAATCTCAACCCACTGCAAATGCAACTCCTATCTATGTTTTGAAGTTTTGCTTCAAAACTACTATTTTCTAGTAGTAGAAAAGTACTACTTTTCTACTACTGACAGTCATGTTAAGTCTTGTTATGTCGTAAAGTGTTAAGACCTGACTCAAGTCATGTTAAGTCTAACTATGCTTCATTTTACTCTACAGTCATTCCCAGGTCCAATTTGCTGCAGAACCTGCCATGTTCCTCCCCTCATATAAGGTCCAGTCCTTTATATCTGGTCAATGTCCTATCTGGTCATTTTATCTTGGATTGCTAAACTGATATGTTCTCAGCTGATCAGCAGCTTCCTGATTTGTTTTCTTCTGGTTATTCCAATAATGGACCATAAAGGCCATGGAGTGCAGTAGTCCTCTTGTTTTTCTTCTCTTTTACCAATGTACTTTAATCCCATCCTTATGTCTCCCAACAGACCCCCTTTTGGATTTTCTCCAGACTGGCTGAAGCATACTCTACTTTCTTTTTGGCCATCAAGAGGAGCATTAAACCTGGCTCTGTTGGATGGATTGGGGCAGTGGTGAAATCCAAATTTTTTTTACTACCGGTTCTGTGGGCATGGCTTGGTGGACATGGCAGGGGAAGGATATTGCAAAATCTCCATTCCCACCCCACTCCAGGGAAAGGATACTGCAAAATCCCCATTCTCTTCCCACTCCTGGGGGAAGGATATTGCAAAATCTCCATTCCCACCCCACTCTGGGGCCAGCCAGAGGTAGTATTTGCTGGTTCTCTGAACTGCTCAAAATTTCCGCTACCGGTTCTTCAGAACCTGTAAGAAGCTGCTGGATTTCACCCCTGGATTGGGGGCGTTCTATATTGGAGGTGGCTGGACTAATAGGAAAAGTGCCACCTTTGTACTGTCCCTGCCTTCAGTTTTTTAGTTTTATATTTATTGTTTTTAATACTTTAATATTTGTGATTTTAACTAAGCCGCCCAGACTTGCTTTGTAGTGAGAGGTGGGAGGTATATTCATTTAATAAATAAAGTAAACTCCCAGAATGACATGCAACTTTCTTTGCAATTAGTTTCCAATTCTGTCATGAAATAAAAGCTATGTACATTTTTGCCATTTTAACAGAATTGACCACATACCAAAAATCCTCGCAGCTTTTAGAAATATAGTAGGTCTCCTCATCTTACCAAAAGGTTGCCTACTCCTACAAACTTCATCCCATTCTACGAAATAAGCAAGCGAGCAAGAAACTTGAAGTCATTTGTGGATTTTCTGAGAGAGTAGGAAGCACAAGTATTTGCAGTTGAGCCTGTGATAAAATCAGGTGGTCTCTGAACTGATCATGGCATTTTAGGTCCTTTTCTGAATTCTGCAAGAATTGAATCAAATCCTGCAGTTGGTTCAGAAGTTAGCATCACATACAGAACACATTCTGAGGAGCATCATAAAAGCAGAGCAGGCCTGAATGGGGAGAAAGGGAATACTGGATTGTTAACCAAATACTTAAGAACTAATAAAATGTATGGCTGATTAAATTCATCAATTCTTCTTGATCCCCCTCAGTGCTTGATCAGAGTCATTTTGAATTTTGAATATTGGACATGCTATTTCTAGAGTAATGTCATTTCTTAGTGATCACCTTGGCTGATTCACCAGTCACTTTTCCTACCTTTTTTTTCTAAATAGTAAAGCACTTTGTTTTGGGGACTGGCATTTTGCCCTGCATTCTCCAACAGAGCCACTGCAGAGCCATTGATGACTACGGATGCCTTTGGATAATTTACTGTGGCTCATAAGGTGAGATGAACGGAATTACGATTCACTGGGGCATGAAGCCAGATAGCAGATGAGCATGCTGCAAGGACTGCCAAAATACAGTTGTATCTGTCAGACCTCCTCCACTCTTCTTTAATTAGATATATAGGATTTGCTATTGATATCAAGGCATTCCATTTTGGGGTAATTGCACACTCCATTGGTCATGGTTCTGTGCAGGAGCCTTGTATCTAAATAGTAATCAAGGATATGGGATCCCTGGGGAAGATCATGAACGGCACAGTGCCACACTCATTTGCTTGGAAGTGCTCCTCAAATGCTTGCCAGAGCAGAAAGTTGGCTGGGTCATAAAGCAAATTAATAAACAAACATAAATCCCACTAAATTTAGTAGTTTACTCCCAAGTAAGAATTTACAAAACAACACATGATACCGCTCACATCTTGAAGAGGGCACCAGGACAACAAAAGAATGAACTAGAGTATTCATTTTCTACTTGGGCTGTCTTCTGCTGAGAGGAATAGATTTGTTCCAGTGAGCAGTTGCAAAGAAACAGTTAAAAAAAAAAATCAGAATTCCACCTGGGATTGATAAGAAAGATAGTATGGAAAACCACTTTACCTTCCAAGAGCTCAAATTAGATGGAGACCATCATAGAATACTGATGAGTTGGCCAAGTCTCTATCTATAACCAAGAGGATGGATTATATGATAGATAGTAGGCAAATATCCTAAAATAAGAAAATAGGAAACTGTAGTCCAATCAGTTTGATATGAATAACCAGGAACACTTTAGAGGATATCATGGATTAATCTGTAACCTTGGGAGAAATACAGTAATTGTTCAAAATCAGCATTGATTTCTCAGGAAAAAGTCTCGCTAGACTATTCTTATGTTTTTTTTTTATTTTGTAAGTTTTTCAGTGGATTGTAAGAATGCTGTGGATACAATGTATCTTGATTTCAGTAAAGCCCCTGAGAAATTAGCCCATCACATTCTTATTAATATTCTAGCCTAGTTGGCATGTCTCTTATGTGAAAATCTTACTCAGAGCATCCTCATGTATTTTCATCAAACTGGAGGTGGTATCAAATAGAGTCCCATGGGATTGGGTTATGAGCCCAGATCTCATCAACATTTTCATTAATGACTTGAATAAAAAGTGGAGGAAATGCTTATCAAATTTGCAGATTGCACAATATATGATAGAATTGCTAATAGTCTAGAAGACGGGAGCAAAATTCAAAATTATTTCAAGTAGAGAAATGGGCTAAAAATAATTAAAGGCAATTTAATAATACTTTAAGAGACAAATTGTATAAAGGGCTTTCACTTAGAACAAATAGAACAGCATTTAAAAAAAATAAAATATAGGAAGGGGATCACATAAAAGATAAAACAATATCATCTTGGTGTATAGGACATTGACTTATGCTCTCAAGTTATAGGAAAGCAAATTCCAGTGGAATAATAGGAAAACTTTCCTAATAGTAAGAGAACTTTGACAGTGGAACCAATTACTGAGGAAGTTGGGGAGCTCTCTTTTGTCGTAAGTCTTCATCATCTGTCAAGGATGCTTTTACTGGTCTTTTTGCAGTAAACATTAGGATTCAATGATTCTATGAAACATTGCTTAGCACAACAACACTTTCCAAATCTGACACATTTGGTTAGGGACTGTTTCCCATCTTAAGGACACAAGCTCTGAATGATGTGTCAACAGGATTTTTGTCCTGAAACTAATATCAGTTTGTAATTAATATAGAGACTTGCAGGATGGAAGTCTGGCGGTCCCAACCACCACCACCCCCAGCCCCCCAGTAGCAGGCAAGGTCTTCATACCTTCATCCTACATCTTGATTTTGGGGTTAATTTTCTAATGCCACTTCCTATCTTCTGGGTTCAGTTCCCCTAGCTATAATGTGAAAGAGAGTCCTGGCTTGATGTCTATGGAGATTCTCAGTCATCCAGGTCATAGTTGTCTCAAAGGTGCTTTTTTCCTCAAAAGGCAACTGGGTTGTTGTTTTTTTTCCCTTAAGGAAGATGAAAACATTTCACTTCTCATGAGAAGCAAAATGTTTTCTTCTTCTCCTGCAAGGAAAAAACAGTCCAGTTGCCTTTTGAAGAAAAAAAGCATCTTTGAGAGTCCTGGCTTTCATTCCCAGTAGAGAGAAAAGGAAGATGCCCTCAAGAGAGATACAGAGAAGTTGTTGCCTAGGCAAAAAGGACTAAAGAATTTTTCAAGTCCCAAACATCCAGGTAACATTTGGAAGTGGTTCAGATAGAAACAATTAACTGATTTGTAAGGAAAAAGAGGAGGAGACCCAACATAATCAGATTCGAAAGATTTTATTATTATAGCCAATTTCAATACAAGTAATTCCTTTGGAGTTGCTAATCTGCTAGTGGGGCTGACACACCTTGTGCTGCTTTCTAGTGACTCAAAAGTCAAATTGAAAAAGTCAAATTGAAAAACAGAAATGTAGACAATGAAAACTCTCATTCTGTTTTTCGATAGGAAGGCTATTGGATCCAACATCTGTTATTTACCGTATTTTTTGGAGTATAAGATGCACCTTCCCCCCCCTAAAAGGGGGTGAAAAATTAGGTATGTCTTATACACTGAATGTAGCCCAACCCACCCACTCGCCCTCACCCTTTGGCCTCTGCCTCCCACCAGTTATCTCCTTGCAGCAAGCAGCAAGAAGAAACAGCTCCTTTCAGCTTCAGCACAGCCTTATTAGCACAAATTGATTGGATCAGCCTCCCAACTCTCAGCTGTTTTGCTCTCAGCTGTTTTGCTGGGGCCTCTGCTGCTTGCTGCAAGGAGGTAAATTGCTGGAGCAGATTTTGTTTTTCTTGTGCTAATCAAGCTATGATGAAAATGAAAATGAAAGTAAAGCAGGCTGTTTGCTGCAATGAGGCAAAATTGCTGGGAGGCAGAGGCAGAGGCAGATTTCTTTTTCTTGTTTTCCTCACCAAAAAAGGTAGGTGTGTCTTATAGTCCAGTGCGTCTTATATTCCAAAAAATACGGTAATAGATTTTAAAATATGATAGCCTACTAATGTCTAACTTCAAGTTTTTATCAGGTTGGTCAGTCCTTTGATTTTGAAGAGAAAGCAAACAATCCAAAATATTCAGGAAAAAAACATGTTTTAGGAGTTTTAAGACTTGTGGACTTCAATTCCAAGAATTTCACAGCCAAAATGGCTGCTTGGGGAATTCTGGGAGTTGAAGTCCACAGGTTTCAAACTTGCCAAGGTTGGACACCCCTAACCTAAAGTGCCCTCATCTCTGAAATCAACACAGTTGAAGTATCAAACTTGCTTGCTCTATGTTGCTATTACTTTCAGTACCAGCCTAGTGGACAGCTCCTTGCCAAAGAAAACTGTTGAAAGCCTTACTAATGTAATGAAATCCAAAATTTGAAGAGCCAATGAAAAAGTTGAATCTCAAACTTACTTCTATGATTTCAGAACCAATAGGAACATCTAAATAATCCTGAATTTTTAAAATGAGCTTTATTGGATTAGGGGGTGAACTAAGGGGGTTTAACGAGGGCATCAACCTATTCTCCAAAGCATCTGAAAGCAGAACAAGAAGCAATGGATGGAAGAGAATTGGAAGAGCAAGGGATTGAGATAGATTGGTAAATATATATGCAGATAAGAACAAGATATGAAAAAGATGCTAAATTATATGGTTTCTATTTGGAAAAAACTGAGCTGGATAGGATACTCACAGGAACAGAAGAGAAGCTAATAAAAAAACTTTATAATTTTTTGCTGTTTATTGATCTGGATGAGAAGCAAGTAAAAGAAACAATGATAGCTTGGGGAAGAAATTTTGGTTACCCTATTGAATTTGAAAAATGGCAACAAATGTGGGAAAGGAAAATTGACAATGTCCACTGCATACAAGAAAAATCAATATAAAATGTTTTATAGATGGCATATGCCACCAGAGAGGTTAGCAAAAATGTTTAAAGATAAATCAGCTAAATGTTGGAAATGTCATCAGCTACCAGAATCTTATTATCATATGTGGTGGACATGTCCAGAAGCAAAAAAATATTAGAATAAAATTAAAACATGGTTGGAAGAGATAATACAGTTAGGTATTGATTTTAAACCAGAGCTGTTCCTATTGGGTATTCTTCCAGAAAAGACTAGTAAGGAAAATATTTATTTGATTATACATGTAATAACAGCTGCAAGAATGGTTTATGCTCAAAATTGGAAAGCAGAAAAAATACCTTTGGAAGATGAGGTGATTAAAAAAAAATTATGGATTGTGCAGAAATGAATAGATTGATTTAATGATTAAAGATAGGGAAGAGATAGAGTATTATAGAATATGGAACTGTTTCTATTATTGGCTGGAAAAGAGATATAAAAGATAAAAGCTTTATGATTATATTTAAAAATTTGATAGGCAGAATTTTGTCTTAGTAAGGAGATATTAAAATGGTTTGTATAAAGATCAAGATAGAAGAAAGTTCCTTTTTTGGAAGAAGAAGAACGACCGAAGATAACACCGAGATGTCACAGGGAGGGGGCGACAGATGTACTAAATGTTTGTTTGTGTTTATAAAAAATAATAAAAAGTTATATTAAAAAAAAGAAGCAATGGATGGAAATTTATCAAGGAAAGAACTAAGGAGAAATATTCTGACAGTGAGAACAATTAATCATTGGAATGACTTGCTTCCTAAAGTTGTGTGTGCTCCATCACTGGAGGTTTTTAAGAAGAGATCGGACAGCCATTTGTCTGAAATAGCAACAGCAATAACACTCATATACTGCTTCATCATGCTTTACAGCACTCTCTAAGTGGTTTACACAGTCAACATATTGCCCCCAACAATCTGGACCCTCATTTTATCAACCTCAGAAGGATGGAAGACTGAGTCAACCTTGATCCCCTTAGGATCAAACTCCTTGCAATGGAATGCAAGTGAAACAGTATAGGGTCTCCTGCTTGAGAAGGGGGTTGGACTAGAAGACTTCCAAGGTCCCTTCCAATTCTGTTATTCCGTTATAGGAATACTGTAAGTTGAAATAATTTGGATAATGTCATCTCCTGGATATGTAATGAAGAAGTGTAGTGACTAGATGATTCAACTCCTCCTCTCCATGGGAAATAATTTTACAAGTGATACACAAAAGCAAAGAATATTTTAGGAAAATAAAATGCTTTAAAATATCTCTAATAATGAAATATTAGATTTTCAGTGTGGAAGGAGACTGAGGGCTACATAAATCACACTAATACAATGACTTTCAAATTATTAAAAAAGAAAAAAATATCTAAATTGAAATGTAAAATATAAAATTCTATTGTGTATGTAATATTTATGAGGAATTTTGATTATAATGGTAAAATCTAATGCAAACAACTTAAAGAAAGAAAAGAGAATAGAAAGATGAAGTAAAAAGTGCAAGGAAAAAGAAAAAGTAGAAAAAGGAATTTAATAAAGAGATAAGAAATATATAAAGAAGTGACTTCCAACCTTCATCACAAGTGTAAACAACTTAAGCAACTCTTCACTCCCTCTAAAGTTACAATCATGTTCTCTTCATCCCATATCTTATCTCTTATCTATAAACAAATCCATAAAACAACATCTTTTCAGTCTCCCTTTTCAGCAGAAAATCCATAGAATGGCCAGAATGCATACCTTGTTTTAATCTTGATCAAATAAACCAACTTTATATTCCTTCCTTATA